CACATCTCAAAATGCTAATAAATAGTTCTTTTTCTCAAAAAACCAAAAGTATCTTCTATGATGACTTGGGAAGTACACATCAAGAGCTTCTGCTACATTCCAAAGTCCTGTGACTCAAGGAAAATAATCTGTATGAGCTGAACTACCCTCTCTTGCATGGACTACAATCTTCACTTGAAAGAGTGAATGGGGACTTCCCTGGTGGTCCAGTGGTTAAGACTTTGCCTTCCAATGCAGGGGATGCAGGTTCAATCCCTGGTTAGGGAGCCAAGATCCCACATGCCTTGCAGCTGAAAAAACAAAACATAAAGCAGAAGTAATATTTTAACAAATTCAATAAAGACTTTAAAAAAATAAGAGTGAATGACACTGGAAGATTTATGTAACTTAGTGAAAAAATGTATTACTTACAAAAAATCTTATATTAGTATAAGAGATTCAATATGGAAAAAAGCCTTAGGGATTTTGATGTAACAGAACAGTAAATAGACAGTGATATAATTTCAGGCCCACTTTGAAAATAACCTTTAAGAAACTACCAGTTGTGTAGTTTTAGATTTGTATCAAAGATGAACTTACATAATTACCTGAAAAGGTTATTAAAAATACTACTCCTACACACATGTGGTGGTGGTGTAGTCGGTAAGTCATGTCCAACTCTTGCAACCCCATGGACGGTAACCTGCCAGGCTTCTCTGATCATGGGATTCTTCAGGCGAATACTGGAGTGTGTTGCCATTTCTTTCTCCAACATACGTGTGGGCCTTTTTATTTTCATAGATTTCAATCAAAATAACAGATTCAATGTAGAAGCAAACCTGAAAATCCTGTGGTCTTCTAATGAGATGGCAAGAAAGGGAATTGCAAAAATATAAAAAATGTAGAAAAATGTAGGTAGCGTATTAAAAAGCAGAGACATTACTTTGTCAACAAAGGTCTGTCTAGTCAAGGCTATGGTTTTTCCAGTAGTCATGTATGGATATGAGAGTTGGACTATAAAGAAAGCTGAACGCGGAAGAATCTATGTTTTTTTAACTGTGGTGTTGGAGAAGACTCTTGAGAGTCCTTGGACAGCAAGGAGATAAAACCAGTCAATCCTAAAAGAAATCAGTCCTTAATATTCATTGAAAGGACTGATGCTGAAGCGGAAACTCCGACAATTTGGCCACCTGATGCAAAGAGCCGACTCATTGGAAGAGACCCTGATGCTGGGAAAGATTGAAGGCGGGAGGAGAAGGAGATGACAGAGGATGAGATGGTTGGATGGCATCACTGACTCGATGGACATGAGTTTGAGCAAGGTCCGGGAGTTGTTGATGGACAGAGAGGCCTGGCATGCTGCAGTGCACATGGTCGCAAAGAGTCGGACACGATTGAGGACTGAACTGAACTGAAAAAGCATCACTGTTCTCACTACCATGTTTGTTTTGGGAAATAACTTATTTTTCATGTTAAATGCATGGGTTATTAATATTATTCTAAACAAGTTAATTAAAGATTTCAAACTTTATTATCTCTACCATGGAAAATGTCGACTGGACTCAGGCAGTGTGGCAAGGACCTCTCGGCGGCGTAGGAGGGGAGGCATTAGGGCAAAGTCCCAGGTGCCCGCCGAGGTCGAGCTCTGAGTCTCAGGGTCAAGGGCTGTGTCTGGGGCGGGGACGCTCCGTCTTGAGGTTTCTCGTCTCCTCGAGTTTCATTTCCTTTTCTTTCTTCTTCTTTTTTGAGTTTCATTTTCTGGTCTCAAAGAGTGTCGGGCCCTCCTGCCTGGACACTCATGACGCGACCCCAGTTCTCACTCCCATTGGGTGTCCGATTTCTACCTGCCAGTATTCGTCTCCGCAGTTCCGGGTTCCAGTATCTGTCCACCCGCCGCCGAGTCTCTTGCTCCCAGATCCCCGGAATGCCGGTCGTGGGTCTGAGAGCCCTACTGCTGCTCTCGGGGGCCCTGGTCCTGACCGAGACCTGGGCGGGTGAGTGCGGGGTCGGGAGGGAACGGCCTCTGCGGGGAGGGGCGAGGGGACCGCCCGAGGGTCGGGGTGGGGGGCCAGAACCCACAGGGAAGGAGTGACCCCCGCCGCCCCCACCAGACCCGGGGCCTCCGCCAGGTCCCGTCCTGTCCCTCCCTTGCTTCCCGTTCCCTCTTCTCTCCCCACAAGTCCTGGTCCTCCGACCTTTTCCGTCTCACGAGCTCCTCTCTCCCTCCCCTGCTCCCTGCCTGGTCACCTAGGACCCGGGACCTGAGCTGGGAGGAGGGTCAAGATCTCACCCCTCCCCGCCCCCAGGCTCCCACTCCCTGAGGTATTTCTACACCGCCGTGTCCCGGCCGGGCCTCGGGGAGCCCCGCTTCATCACCGTCGGCTACGTGGACGACACGCAGTTCGTGCGGTTCGACAGCGACGCCCCGGATCCGAGGATAGAACCGCGGGCGCTGTGGGTGGAGCAGGAGGGGCCCGAGTATTGGGATCAGGAGACTCAGAGAACCAGAGATACCGCACAGTTTTTCCGAATGAGCCTGAACACCCTGCGCGGCTACTACAACCAGAGCGAGGCCGGTGAGCGACGCGGGCCCGGGTCCAAGTCACGACCCCCATCCCCAGGGACGGCCCGGAGTAGCCCCGAGTCTCCGGGTCCTAGGGTCACCCCAACACTACGGGACCCGCTCCGCCCCCCGATCCGGGAGGAGCTCACGGGGGCTTGACCCAGTTTCATTTTCAGTTTGGATTTAATGACCGCGTGTGGTCGGGGCGGGTCAGAGTCTCACACCCTCCAGGAGATGTATGGCTGCGACGTGGGGCCGGACGGGCGTCTCCTCCGCGGGTATGACCAGTTCGCCTACGACGGCAGAGATTACATCTCCCTGAATGAGGACCTGCGCTCCTGGACCGCGGCGGAGTCGGCGGCTCAGATCTCCAAGCACAATGCAGAGGCGGCCGGTGATGCGGCGCGTGTGAGGAACTATCTGGAGGGCAAGTGCGTGGAGTGGCTCCGCAGATACCTAGAGACAGGAAACGACACGCTGCTGCGCGCAGGTACGAGGGGCGCAGGGCCTCCCTGATCTCCCCTCGGGCTGGAGCTGCCTGGCTTCCCACAAGAAGAAAATGGAGTCTCTGTGGGAACAGCGCCGCAACGTCAGGAAAGGGAGGAATCCGCCCAGGTTTTCATATTCTGTACAAGACGATGACTCGCCAGTGGCCCCACTGGTTATTTAGTCGCTCAGTCGTGTCTGACTCTTTGCGACCCCATAGACTGCAGGACGCCAGGCTTTCCTGTCCATCACTAACTCCGGTAGCTAAGCTCAAACTCATGTCCATTGTGTCTGGTGATGCCATCCAACATTTTCATTCTCTGTCATTCCCTTTTCCTCGTACCTTCAATCTTTCCCAGCCTCAGGATCTTTTCCAATAAGTCGGCTCTTCACATCAGGTGGCCAAAATATTGGAGTTTCAGCTTCAGCATCAGTCTTTCCAATGAATATTCAGGGTTGATTTCATTTAGAATTGACTAGTTTGAACTCCTTGCTGTCCAAGGGACTCTCAAGGGTATTCTCCAACACCACAGATCAAAAGCATCAATTCTTCAGCACTCAGCCTTCTTTATGGTACCGTTGTCACATCCATACATGTCTACTAGAAAAAACATAGCTTTGACAATATGAACCTTTATCGGCAAAGTGATGTCCCTGCTTTTTTATATGCTGTCTAGATTTGTCATAACTTTTCTTCCAAGGAGCAGATGTCTTTTAATTTGGTGGCTGCAGTCACTGTCCACAGTGATTTTTGGAATCTAAGGAAATAAAGTCTGTCACTGTTTACATTGTTTCCCCATCTATTTGCCATGAAGTGATGGGGCTGGATGTCATGATCTTAGTTCTCTGAAGGACAATTAAGGAATCCAGTGTCTTTGACTAAGAAGGAGTAAACCATCCCTGAAAAAGTTGGTCAGTGCTGCCCTTTGACCCTGGCCACCATCTTGTGAACCTTGACTTTGTCTCTCAAGGCTTGTTCTCACCCTGAGAACATCTTAGGAGCCCTGACTCCAGCTTTTCTAAGTCATTCAGCCTGCTCCCACATCAGGACCATTACTCTGAATTCTGCCTCTTACACGGAGCCTCCTCCCTTAGCTGTCACCCTGACTCCAGAACGTTCCAAGGACTAGGAGCTGTTCCCAGACCCTGGAGTCCAGGCTGATGTCTGGTGTTTGTGCTGCTTCTTTTCAAACCCACTCTCCTCAGGATGGTCATCTGATGCTGCTTCCAGTGGCCCATGGAGGTAACACAAAATATGAGTTTTCTGATTCTTCTTCCTCAGACCCTCCAAAGGCACATGTAAACCATCACCCCATCTCTGACCATGAGGTCACCTTGAGGTGCTGGGCCCTGGGCTTCTATCCCGATGAGATCTCACTGACCTGGCAGCGTGACGGGGAGGACCAGACTCAGTACATGGAGCTTGTGGAGACCAGGCCTTCAGGGGATGGAAATTTCCAGAAGTGGGCAGCCCTGGTGGTGCCTTTGGGAGAGGAGCAGAGATACACGTGTCATGTGCAGCATGAGGGGCTTCAGGAGCCCCTCACCCTGAGATGGGGTAAGGAGGGGGTAGGAATGGAGATTCCTCTCAGATAAAGCAGGAACCCTTCTAGACACAATCAGCAAGGTCAGAACTGAAGCCTGAAGACTGAGTCCCTTCCTTTTCTTCCACAGAACCTCCTCAGCCCTCTGTCCTCATCATGGGCATCATTGTTGGCCTGGTTCTCATGGTCAATGGAGCTGTAGTGATTGGAGCTGTGATTTGGAGGAAGAAGCGCTCAGGTAGGGAAAGGAGGGAGGGATCTGAGTTTTCTTTTTTCTTTTTTTTGTGTAAAACGAGATCATTTTAATGTTGGCTTTTTTCTTTTTTAAAACAGAATAAATAGTTTTCTTTGACTGAAGACAACATGTAAGGTTGATTGGTAGTATTCAGAAATATCAGAGTAATGGTTTCCCGATTGGTGTGTAGTCTTCAGTAATTATAAGGAACCATTGGCCTAATGAATCTTTCATACTTAGGTGGTTTTCGAGTAAAGCCATCTCCAACAAAGCAGACTTTAGTAACCATCCTCTTCCAGGCTTTCTTCTTTCTCTTTCCTGTTCGAATAACTTTTAATACTTCTGTTTCTCCCTGGGCACGAACTTTGGGCAGAGGGACCTCCCATTTTCCCGCTTTCTCTTTTCATTTCTGTTTAATCATATTGGAAAGTACTTTAGCTCGAGACTGTCCCTCTCGGTCCAGTAGATATGCAGGTACTGCTCCTTGTGGAGGCTTTTCATCATTCTTCTGTTTGGTGTTTCTCTTTTCATGCATCTTAATAGTCTTTTTCATTTGTATTTTCTCAGCATGGCGCTGTTTTTGGTAGAGCTTAGCTTTCAGACCAATCATCTTTTTTGCCTTCTTTGAACGTTCCTGAGCCTCTCGACCTTCCTTCTTTCTCTTTTTCTCATGGTAATCCAAAGGATATCCAGAGCGCTTACGGCTGCCGAGCCGCCGGGTGCAGTCTCCGCGGCACGAAGGTCTCAATTTTCGGATCTGAGTTTTCTTGTCTCACTGGGCGGGTTTCTGGCCCAGATGGAAGTTTGCCTGCCTTGTTACTGGAAAGTACCCTCCACACACTTGTGGAATCTGAGCTGATGCTAAGACTGACCCTTTTGTAAAGTACATGTGAAAATGAAAGACAAATTTTTCATCTTCATAATTCCAGTTGGGGGCCTGTTTCTCAGCATTTGAAGGTCAGGAGGTAATGTCCCTCCTGAGGACAGACCTCCAGGAGGGCAGGTGGTCCAGTCCCCCCCACGTCTCCTTCCTTCATGTTCCTGAGCCTATCCTGGGTTTTTGGTCACAGTTCTGAGAAGTTCTTGGTCATCCAGGACTAGGGAGTTCCTCTAGGGTCTCATGACTCAGTCTGCTCCCTGGTCTCTCATGTGATATTTTCTTCTCACAGGTGAAAAAGGACGGACCTACACCCAGGCTGCAAGTAAGTACAAAGGCGGTATGATTCCTGAGACCTTTGTGAGGGTGCAGAAAGGAGGCCGCGGGGGACTCACCCTCCTCAAAGTGCTTTCTCTAGTTTCTCCTCTGTGGGTTCTGACCATGTCCTGGTCTTGTTCTCCTCCAGGCAGTTGCAGTGACCAGGGCTCTGATGTGTCTCTCAAGGTTCCTAAAGGTGAGACCCTGGAGAGTCTAGATTGGGAGAGGAGTTGGAGCAGAGGGGACACATTGGGTGGCAGGGATCTTTGAGTGGGACATGTGAGCATGTGGGGGGCTGTGGAGAATGTGAGTGCTTACATGACCGACCTGAACTGGTTCCTGATTCTTTTCTCTCACAGTGTGAGAGCTGCTTTGTGGGGACTGAGTGATGCTCCGTCCAACTTTGTGACATCAGATCCCCAGACTCCTCTTTCTGAAGCTGCATCTGAATGTGTCTGTGCTATTAGCATAACATGAAGAGGTGGGTAGACTGCCAACATCTTCCAATGCAAACTCCTGGATTTATAAAGCAATGCCTAATTGTCACAGCAGGTTGGAATATGTGACCTGTCAGCCTCGGATCTTTTCTGAAGAGAAAATAGCGTATGTGTAGAGTGCAGACTGGTTGGTGTGGGAGGGAGGGGTGATCAGCTCTTGTGGGGAAAGTACAGGCTGCGTTGATGTCAGAGTGAACGCATGTTGTTCTGTAGCTGCAACGAGAGAGCAAGTGGCCTGAGTTCACATTAATAAAGATAGAATACAGAGGCTAGTACAGTGATCTTTCCTTAATCTGATATTTGTTGTGTGCCAGATGATGCTCTATTATTGCATCTGTGAAACCTCAGTAAACTAAAAACAGACAGACTCTGTTGGCCTCATGTCCTATGTTCTGGTCAGAGGGGGCAGAGTGAGCCTAATAAGTGAGGAAAGTGTCTGCCTAAGGATTGGCAAGTTCTTTGACGAAGGTGACCTAGAATATAACTGTGTGGGTACAGGGAATGTGGCTGTTTTACTAGAGTGGTCAGTGTAGGCCTCGTTGAGGAGATGATATCTGAGTAAAGATGTGAAGGACATGAGAGAATGTCCACTAGGATGTCTGGGGGAAGTTCTCTCCAGGCAGAGGAGCCTCCAGTGCAAATGCAGGAGGGCAGGAGAGTGTCTGTGATCAAGGAAGAGCCAGGAGGCAGGTGTGACTGGAGGAGCGAGGAATTGAGATGAGATCCAGTGTCTGGCCAGATCATGTGTGCCTCCAGCATATTGGAAGGTGTCTGATGTCTGTGAAAGATGTGGACTCATAAGATGGTTTGAATAGAAGATGACCTGGTGTGACTGCTCGCTAGGAGCGTCAGTCTAACTGCTGTGTAGAATCAGGAGGTGAAGGGTGAGCGATGCAGTAGAGGAGCCTGTAGGATTAGTGCGGGGCCCAGGGTGGAGATACTGGTGTTCCCTGGACCCTCATTAAATCTAGACAGTCGTGAGTAGAGCCTGTTCTTGATAAGGTTGGTGCTGATGCTGCTGGTCTTCAGATCACACTTTTAGTAGCAAGAACAAATGTAGACCAGGATTCCCACATGCTGTGTATCAGCCTCACACACAGAGGTTGTTAAATAAGCAATCCCTTGGTCTTGTCCTAATACTCTGAGAAGGTGGTTCTGGGGAGAGGCTGAGCATTTTGTAAGAAGCCCCACAAGCAATTCTGATGATTAGCCAATTTGGGAACCCCTGAGGTATATGAGAGCGAGTGTCCAGAGAGGGGTCTTAAATGCATATTTAAAAACGTATTTTTTCTTCAGAAAGAAAAGGGAATTTATATTGACAATTCATATTGTCAATTATGAGGTGTGATGTTGAGAAATAATTAGTTCTTATTCCACCTGAATAAGAATACAGGCAGTGGTTCACAGTTCAGTGTAATGAAATCCTTGCTCTCTGAAATTATTCTCCTCACTCATTCTTGGAGCTAACAATGGGATCCAAATTAAGTTAGACATAAAGTACTATATACATATGGCCCCATGGGAACAGGATCCACAGTGTCCACTCCAGGCCAGGTCCCACAAAGGAAGTTTCGTCCCCGCTGGGGCACAGTGTCACTGCTCACACAGTGAGCCCCTCGTGCTAGACGTGGACTCCGTGCTGAGGACGGCTATCACTGAGGCTCCTGACAACTGGGTGTGGTGTGACTCCCACTCTTGATACCCTTGTCAGATGCATCCTGCATAGTTTCAGCTTCTCTGTGTCACAACGGCCTGAGTAGATTCTGACATGTGGTCACCTGAGTGATGGGAGCTCAGCATCATGCTGTGTGCTTTGGCAAGAATATTTGGGAAAGTGCGTTTTCTTCTTTAATGGAGGAAGGTGGTCTCTGCCTCCTACCAAGATTCAGTGTGGAATTTTCCTAATCTGGAAATGCTCCTAATCAGGTGAGGGGGAGAGAGGGATGGACAAGAATGTCAAATTTCAATTGTTAGAGCAATGATCTGGAACTGGAACTTGATCTGGTACAATGTAGGCACTCAGGTTTGACTGAAAGAACAAGTGACTAATAAATGACATCCAGGGTAGAGATCTGCTTGCTTACTTGTTTGTTTTGTTTTGTTTTCATTGGAGTGTAATTGATTTACAATGCTGTGTCACTTTCTGCTGGATAGTACAGTGAATCACCTATAAATATATTCAGGCTTTTTTAGATTCTTTCCCCATAAACACCATCAGAGAGTGCTGGGTAAATTTCCCTGTACTATGCAGTATCCACAGCACTTTAAAGTGCTGCCCAGGTGGTGGGGGGAGATCCTAGAAGGATGGCTCTACTCCAGATGCTGAAGAATCCAGACCAGGTGGGAGCATGTCAGAAGGGTCCAGGACAACATTTCCAAAAAAGGAAAAACTGATGGAATATCCAAAGTATCCACACTTCTTGGAAGAGTCATGCAAACAGAGCAATCATTAGAGCTGAATTCATGAGAGCTTCATAGAACACCATCAGGAAAAGCAAAGCCTCATCAAGAGGCTCTTTAGTTCTTCACTTTCTGCCATTAAAGTGGTATCATCTCCTTATCTGAGGTTGTTGATATTTATTTCTCCTGGCAATCTTGATTCCAACTTCTGATTCATCCAGCCCTGCATTTTGCTTGATGTATTCTGCACATGAGTTAAATAAGCAGGGTGACAATGTACAGCCTTATTATACTCCTTTCCCAATTTTAAACCAGTCTGTAGTTCTGTGTGTGGTTCTAACTGTGCTTCTTGACCTGCATACGGGTTTTCAGTAGACAAGTAAGATGGTCTGGTATTCCCATCTCTTTAAGACTATTCCACAGTCTGTCGTGATCCGCACAGTCAAAGGCTTTAGCATAGTCAATGAAGCAGAAGTAGATGTTTTTCTGGTATTCCCTTGCTTTCTCTGTGATCCAAGAAATGCTGGCAATGTGATCTCTGGTTCCTCTACCTTTTCCTTTTCTAAACCCACTTTGTACATCTGGAAGCTCTCAGTTCACGTACTGCTGACGCCTAGCTTGAATTTTGAGCATGATTTTGCTAGCATGTGAAATGAATAGGATTGTACAGTAAATTGTACAGTAGTTTAAACATTCTTTGGCATTGCCTTTCTTAGGGATTGGAATGAAAACTGACCTTTTCCAGTCCTTTGGATAGCTTCACTTCCTCATATGTAGAAAAGCCTTAAGTCCTTTCACGGTGAGGTCAGCTCCTTGGGACTAGCAGAAAACCTTGTGAAGATAAGTACCTGATTGCACTGGATTCCCCCTTCACCAAAATCATATATACTGACCTCCCCTCCCTACCTATTTGGAGCTGTTTCTCAGAGCTATCTGAGGTGCTGTCTCCCAAGCTGCAGTCCTCATTTTGCCCCAAATAAAACTTAATTCACAAGTCTTAAGTTGAGCATTTTGTTAATTCACTAGTGTATTAGTCATGGAAAAGAAAAAGCTGAATGAACTAAGTATGATCAATATATAAATAACGTGGGAAATTGAAGGAATGGGAAGAGTGAAAGAAAGCAATGACTTAACTATTGCATCAGCCACCGTGTGGTGCGACAGACAGTGGCTGTGACAGAAAAATCAAGCAGCAGTTCTAGTAAGGCACTGTGTTTAGAGATTTGGAAATAAAAGCCAAAAGAATCAGCTAAAAATTATTGAAAGTTGTCGCCAATGGGAAAGCAGAAATTGAGAAGATTCAGGATTATAACAAGAGTCTGTATCATGAGAAATCATGCACAGATATTTGATTTCTTAATTTACAGACAATTTTGCCTTTGATTAATCACAGAAGAAAATGAATGAGAATGAAAGTTTATGGTTAATGAAAGCTGAGTACTACAAATTACACTTGGTAGTTTACCAAAATGCAAGAATACTCGAATGGAAACTTACATGCACAACTGCGTGAAAGATGTTAACTGTGAATAAAACCATGAAAGAATATATCATCCCATTTGGATAAACAGATATGGAATGAGTTCTCTATTCCCATTACCTTACTGTGCATCATGTGCATCATGTGCACCAGGCAGGGAGGAAACAGGATCTGATCTGGGAGAACCCTTCTTCACCCTCTTGCTTCCAGTCCGGTCCTGCTGCAGAAAGTGCTCCTGTCATCTGTCTCGGATCTGTGGGAGGTGCCCCTTAGAACACGCTGCCACAAATGCTTTACCTGGGTGAGGTTAAGGTGGTCCTGACCAAGGAGAGCACCGCTCACCTGTGTGCCCCCGGACCAGAAGTCAGGAACGACTGAGGTCCGATGGAGAAGTCTCACCTCCCGTCTGCCCTGTGGAAATCAGTCTAAGCTCATGGAGGGAGATGCCGCTGCTTGATTGTTGCC